GGAGCCGCGGGACCCAGGAAGCGCCGGCGTTGCAGAGATTAGAGACAGAATTAAAACTGAACCGGACCCTCGTAGTCTCTCCGTGATCTACACAACTGCCGCCTGCCGCCGCCTGCTGGGTCCTAAAGACCACTGCATCCCCCCTTTCCCGCCCCCAAATATTCTTTTCAGCCTAATGGAATTTCTGGGGCGAGGGAGTTAACCGTGTCAGTACAACCACCCCTTGGCCCGAGAGCTTATTTATCTTTTATGAAATCATTAAAAAAAAAAAGGAGAACCCAACTGGATTCTGAACGTGATTCCCATTTGAAAATTTGCAAACTAAATGTTCTGTTTTGTGATTTTTCTAAAAACAAGTCAACCGCCCAAATGTCAATAGCCTTATTTATAGCTTTTGCATTTATGTGTATTGTGTGGGGAAATCTACCACAAAATAATTTTTCCAAAAAATTATTTATTACTTCAGATTTTCAGTTGTAAGCTTTCTCATACTCTCTTCGCCCTTAATTTTACTTTTCTAATCCAGTTATTCTCATGCAATCTTCTTATCACAATTTTCATCTAGATTATTTTATTCATTATTTGTTTTAAATATTACAATGTTCCTTGCTATCAGACCTTTGAAGTCCTTAGTGATTTTCAAGTGTAAAAACACTCAACACATCATCTCCACATGGTTAACGGAACCTGTGGAATCTCCCTAATTTTAATGAAAGATTTCTGGCTTCTGGAGATAGAACTGCTTACTGCTTATTTTATAAGCCTCCAAAGGCCCTTGGTGCTCTGCTCATGGTAGTCTATTGCACTGAGAATACACAATTTCACATTCAAACCTTCAATTAAAAAAATGTAAAACCTTTTTTTTTATGTTGGGAAATTCACACCAATATCCTGTTTAAAGGGTCCTCCTCCTCATGTTGAATTTCAAATGACATTTGTTAGATGTCTAATTTAGCTAAAAACATATTTCTTGTGAAATTGCTCAGTGAGAATAGTTGTATTAATATATTACTTAACACCTCACCTGTAGCAGTGTAATGTTAAAGATTACATTAAGATGGAAATGATCAGCAGGCCAACTGAACCATAGGCATAATAAGAGCTTTCTCAAGGCCAAAAAAGGCATTACAATCCTTTTTTAATCTTCACTAATCCATGGCTGGACTGATGATACAACAGGAACTATTTTTAACTTAAGAGGCATCCTTCCATACTTAGTATTAGGGAAGTTAAAATTATTGATGCAACAGTGACTACCAATGCAATGTGTTTTGGGAAAGAAACATCCAGGATTTAGCCTTACAAGGAAAAACAAAAAATTCAAAACACCGTCCAACATTGGCAGCCTTGAAGCTATTTATTCAATTTGTGCTTTAGGCATGAATAGCACCAGTTGTTAAGGCAGGAAAAGCAGCAGCCAGAGGAGAATCTTATCAGGTCCTGGCAATTCTTTATTGTATGGTTGCACTTGACACTCAAATTAGTGAATCAAAGGACCAACTTGATGAATCATTGCAGGCAGGCTATCTGTGTTTCTCCACAGCTCCTTTTGAGATGCTACTAGACTCAGCTCCAGCATTTTTCAGAATTATTCCCCTTCCATCTAGCAAGTTGCCCAGTGACCGATAAAACACTTCTAATATATTTTGCCATGCCAAACAGAGCCATCATACTTATGATTTAAGCTCATGGCAGCACATTGGACATCTGTTACACAGTATGTCTGACCAAATTCATTAAGCTTATGCTTCTTTTTTCCCCTCCTGGGATAGCAGTTAGCTAGTTGTTAAATTTACTTATGAAATGATCAGGGTAAATTTAAAAATGTAATTCTGAACTTGATTTGAATAATTTCAAGACCTCAGGCCTTCAAATATTTGATTAGATGATCCAGTGATTTTTAGGTACTCTGGCCAGAGAGCCAAATGAACTTGGTAGGATGGGAAAAGGGCAGATAAAACCAGTAACAAAAAATAAAATCCTTGTGCTGTTCAATTTAGTGATCATTTAATGCTTGCCTGCTATCTTGTGGTTCTATATTTTGGAATATAGAGATGAATAGCACGTGTGTGTGTGTGTGTGTGTGTGTGAAGTGTCTGACTCAAGTCCACAGGTAGGCAATGAAAGGCAGAGTACTAGAGATTGACATATAATTATCAAGTGCCTATGATGTTAAGCACCTACCCTGGTGAGCACCTACTCTGGTGAGCACCTACTATGTGGCAGGTAGTGGGGACACCTAGATGAGCAGATCACATACTAACTTGCAGGAACTCACAATCTATTCCCAGATCAGTGCTATAAACCTTTATATTATAAAGAACTAGGAATCAATCAAAACACATGCTTTATTTTTCAAGTCTGAGTGCTTCCTTATTTAAGATCTGAGGGATTTGATATTTTAAGGGTATCCACCTATTTTGTGTAACTTTATGCACACATTTAAGTTAATAATTTGAATAGCCAGAGAGAACAAATAGTGGCATCGTTCACAGACACTTGATTGACTTGGAGGCAAGTAGACAAGTCAATAAAGCTTTTATAGTTCATCTAACTTGTCCAGTTCAATACAAAGTGAGCCAGGGAATCACAATTTGCTTCTCAAAATCCAGGTAGCTGAGATGGATTTCTCACCATTTAAAATTTTGCCACATTTCTGCCTCTAGTGCCGTCACATCCAATCAAATAGACTTCTACCAGAAAAAAAAAAAACAGAAAAAGGAAGGAAGGAAGGAAGGAAGGGAGGAAGGAAGGAACGAAGGAACGAAGGAACGAAGGAAGGAAAAGAAAAGAATTTGAGTGTTTTACAATGTGGGTTATGTGATAAACTAAAGGTGAGAATTTATGAAACAAGGCATGTCATGGGGTGAGGAGGGAGGCGGGGGAGAGCTCAGAGGGAAGGTCAGCCTGTGCACACAGCCTCAAAGGCACCACAAAACTAGCAAGTAAAGCAGAAAGACAAACTGCTGGAAGTGCGCCAGCCCCACCCTGACTCCTAACTGACCTCTCAATTCAGAAACAAATGTTTCAAACATCCATAAGATAGAGGAAAAGCAGAAAACAACATAAGGTAAAACGCATTTGAGCTACAACTGCTTTCCACCTTACGATCTTTGAGAAAAGAGAAAGATTCTGCCACATGCAGCAAAAGCAAAAAGCTTACTATGGCAGAAAGTCTTAGAACAAATTTGATACTGGTCCATTGGTGTTCTGCAGTTTCCTTAGCTCTCTTTCCTTCACAGGCTGTGCCTGGTGAGCTGGTAAGTCGAGAACAAGTTTCTGGAGTCAGGCCGCCAGGACCCAGGTTCTGTCCTTACCACCAGCCAGCTCTCTGACCTTGGTAAGTGACTTAGCTGTGCTTAGTTTCCTTATCTGCAAAACAACAATCGTAGAAGTGCCTACCTCAAAGAATTGCTGTGAAGGTTAAATGAGATACAAGTGAAGTGTCAAGAAGAGTACTAACAGATTATAACTATTTTATGTAAAATTTTGTGATTATGATTAATAAACTGGGTTTGAAGGCAAAAGACCAGGGCTTGACCTATATGACCAAAAGCTGTATGACCTTAGCAAAGGACTTAAAAAATATTAAACAGACTCTTAACTTACTTTTAAAATGTGTACAACAAAGCCTATCCCACAAATGGTTAAAGAGCTTATTGGGATATTGTTTGTGTCTGTTTTGTACACAATGAAGCTCTACAGTAGCTAATAGTAACTCATTTGTTCATCCCACAAGTATCAATTGAGCATTAACTCTATGCCAGGCACTGTTCTAGCCCCTTGGGATGTGACCAAGACAAACAGAGGGCCTCTGCCCCATGAGGCTTACATTTCAAGCTAAGGCAATAAAGCAGTATAATAGAATGTAAGACCTAGGGGGAAAACAGGGTAAAACAGTTAGTGAT